AGACGCCCGCCATAATTAATTGGCCCAACATCCTCCATAATCGCCCCATTTTCGGTGTTGACGTGGCCATTTGGCGCCCAAGCCTAACAGTTATCAATTTTTACACAATCCCTCTCCTCTCCCCCTCCGTCCCCTCTCCTATTGTTTTTAATTGTCCCTTCGCCCTATAAATGTTGCTTGTTTTCGTTGACGATTTTATTTCTGTAAATATTCCCACCCAACATGCCGATCTCGCCTACTGGCACAGGCTAACATAGTCCACAGTGGCGAGTCGGGGGCACAAACACACAATTATTGATTTTCTAGACGTTCAAATTTTATTTGTTGTACACACGCCACAAGTAGCCACCCCATTTGTTGCTGTTTTTCCATCTCTGACGATGGACTCCTGCAGTAGCCCGGAAGCTTAGAATAAAATAGAAATCGTTCCGGTGTTCGATCATATGTCTTCTGTACCCATAGATGGTGTTAGGATTGGGCGCAGCGGCTGACCCAACGTGAAGGTCTATGTCTAGGTTGCGTTATTGTTGGTGGCTATTCGACTCCCTGTGAGGGTTCTAGATTGACCCACAAGTCTCAATGTAACCTGGTCCGTGAACACTCTCAGCATTTACTAAATACTAACGACGGCTCGCGGCCGTGGTTATAGCACTAGATGGGCTCAAACCGTGCCCCTTCTATCGTGTGTTTGAATCCCACCCATGCCGCCGAGTTGTCCCAATGGAGGTAAACATTTGTGCGAACCATGCACCAATATCTTTTCTCCTTCACCTTAACCCTCCTGTTAAACTTCCTCATCTCCTAGGAACAAGTTTGCGAAGATGCTTCCTCGGCCAATCTCGTAACCTCCCTGCTGGCGTCGGCAATTGAGGAACTGCGCGTCATTGGCGAGTACATCTTCAGTGCATCCGAAAATGACTCCGAGGAGGGGCCAGCGGACGGTGGTGGTGGTGGTGGCCGATTCGAGTCTGCAGTAAACAACTCCCTTGACCTCACTCAACCCACGAACGATGCGTGTAAGTTTCCGATGCTTTGCCACTCTCAGTTCTGCTTTGTTCTGATTTACTTTATGTGTCTGTGTGTTTGTTTTTCCCCATCCCATCTAGTACTGTCGTTGGGACTGCCGCGAATCATTACTCTCAAGGGTAAGCATCCTGCCAGCCCGTCTATGTCTATTTCTAAATTCCCCTCTTTTCACAGGACAGCTCATTGAACTGGAACGCTTGATGCATGAACTGTCTGCTGGATCCGCCTCCGGTCTAATCAAACCCGGCGAGTACGTTACCCCTCCCCCCTTCCCTGGTGTTCCACCACGACTGTCAGTCATATGTGTGTATGACTCCTGGCTGTTTCGGTGTATGATAAACCACGTAAACTGGAGTTAGTTCAGTATAGTTCAGTATATTTAGGGTAGTAGGCAATGCCTTTGAAGAACATATTGAAAACAGTATGCGTGAAATATCCAACATAAAATATGTTACTATAAAAGAGTGAGTAACATATATA